GTAGAAGAAAAAGGTGGAGAAGAAGAAACTTTGCTGCTCGCGTGCCAAAACCAATTTGAAGAGAAAAGAAATAAGTGGTACCTCGACACCGGCGTAAGCAACCACATGTGCAGCGATTGAAGCATGTTCATAGAGATCAATGAAGCGACAACTAGAAATGTCTCATTTGGAGATGACTCAAAGATACCAGTCAAAGGAAAAGGTAAAATTCTCATACACTTAAAGAATGAGAGTCATCAATTTATATCCAATGTCTACTGTGTTCCTAATAAAAATAATATTTTGAGCTTGGGACAATTATTGGAGAAAGGATATGACATCCACTTGAAAGAACATATGATCGCTAAGGTGCCTATGTCAAAGAATAGAATGTTCCTCTTGAACATTCAAAATGATGTGGCAAAGTGTCTCAAGGCCTGCTATACCGACTCTTCGTGGCTATGGCATCTACGATTTGGACACCTCAACTTCGGTAGTCTAGAATGTTTGTCAAAGAAGGAGATAGTGAGAGGCTTTCCTAGTATAAACCACCCAGACCAACTATGTGAAGGATGTCTAATTGGGAAGCAATTACGAAAAAGCTTTCCAAAGGAATCAACATCAAGAGCGACAAAACCACTAGAGCTCATACACACTGATGTCAGTGGACTAATCAATCCAAACTCTTTTGGTAAGAATAAATACTTTCTCCTATTTATTGATGATTATTATAGAAAAATGTGGGTTTATTTCTTGAAGGAGAAGTCCGAAGTGTTTGAAAATTTTAAGAAGTTCAAAGCTCTTGTGGAGAAAGAAAGTGGTATTTCTATTAAGGCCATGAGATCTGACCGAGGAAGAGAGTTTACTTCAAATGAGTTCAACAAATATTGTGAAAACCATGGAATCCGCCACTCACTAACAGTGCCAAGATCGTCACAACAAAATGGAGTAGTGTCGAGAAAGAACCGGACCATACTTAATATGGTGCGAAGCATGCTTAAGAGTAAGAAGATGCCGAAAGAGTTTTGGGCCGAAGCAGTGACATGTGCAGTTTACCTGACAAACCGTTCCAAAACAAGAAGTGTGCATGAGAAGACACCACAAGAAGCATGGAGTGGAAGGAAGCCAGGGATCTCTCACGTCAACGTGTTTGGAAGCATTGCCTATACCCGCGTTCCAGATGAAAGGAGAACAAAGCTCGATGATAAAAGTGAGAAGTATGTATTCGTGGGTTATGACTCAAGCTCCAAAGGGTATAATCTCTATAATCCAAATAGTAGAAAGATTGTCATAAGTCGCGACGTGAAGTTTGAAGAAGAAGATTGTTGGGGTTGAAGTGTTCAAGAAGTCAGGTATGATTTTCTTCTTTATTTTGAAGAAGAAGAAGATGAAATGGAACAACCAATGATAGATGAACATATTACACCACCTGCCTCACCGACACCAAGGTTGGATGAAATAAGCTCAAGTGAGAGGACACCACGATTAAGGAGCATTGAAGAGCTTTATGAGGTTATCGAAAACCAAAATGACATTAACCTCTTTTGTCTTTTTGGTGTGCGAGCCTCTAAGCTATCAAGAAGCTGTTGAAAATGTAAAGTGGAGAGACACCATGGATGAAGAAATAAAGTCAATCACAAAGAATGATACGTGGGAACTTACTACACTTCCACGAGGACACAAAGCAATCGGAGTAAGATGGGTGTACAAGGTGAAGAAGAATGCAAAAGGAGACGTGGAGAGATACAAAGCAAGACTGGTGGCAAAAGGCTATAGTTAAAGACAAGGAATTGACTATGATGAGGTATTTGTCCCCGTTGCTCGTCTTGAAACTATTAGACTGATCATTTCTTTGGCAGCCCAGAATGAATGGAAGATCTATCAAATGGATGTGAAGTCAGCCTTCTTGAATTGTTTTCTTGAAGAAGAAGTTTATATCGAGCAACCACAGGGATATGAAGTAAAAGGGAAAGAAGAAAAAGTCTTCAAGTTGAAAAAGGTGTTGTACGGACTCAAGCAAGTTCCGAGAGCTTGGAATGTTTGAACCGACAAGTACTTTCGAGACAAGAATTTCATCAAGTGTCCATATGAGCATGCACTCTATATTAAAGCGTAAAGTGGAGATATTTTGATTGTGTGCTTATATGTTGATGACTTGATCTTCACTGGGAACAATCTAAGCATGTTCGAAGAGTTCAAGAAAGACATGTCAAATGAATTTGAGATGACAGATATGGGACTCATGGCATATTATCTTGGCATTGAAGTAAAGCAAGAAGACAAACGAACTTTTATCACCCAAGAAGGCTATGCAAAAGAAGTCCTTAAGAAGTTCAAGATGGATGATGCCAATCCGATTGGCACCCCGATGGAATGTGGCAGCAAGTTGAGTAAGCATGAAAATGGAGAGATTATGGATCCAACTCTTTACAAAAGTTTGGTTGGAAGTCTACGTTACTTGACAAGTACAAGGCCGAATATTCTCTATGTTGTAGGAGTCGTAAGTCGTTACATGGAGGCTCCAAGAATAACTCACTTCAAGGCGGCAAAGAGAATCCTTCGATATATCAAAGGTACAATAAACTTTGGCTTACACTATTACTCTTCTAACAATTATGAAATTGTTGGCTATAGTGATAGCGATTGGAGTGGAGACTTGGACGATAGAAAGAACACTACTGGTTTTATGTTCTTTATGGGAGATACTGCTTTCACTTGGATGTCAAAGAAGCGACCTATCGTCACACTGTCAACTTGTGAAGCCGAATATGTTGCCGCTACATCATGCGTTTGCCATGCAATTTGGATAAGGAACTTATTGAAAGAGTTAAAAATGACACAAGAAGATCCTATGGAAATATGTGTTGACAATAAATCAACACTAGCTTTGGAAAAGAATCATGTATTTTATGAAAGAAGTAAACACATCGACATCCGTTACCACTTTATAAGAGAATGCATCGAGAAGAAGGATGTGAAGTTGAAATATGTGATGTCTCGAGATCAAGTTGCCAACATTTTCACCAAGCCACTCAAGTTGAAAACTTTCGTAAAGCTAAGGAGTATGTTTGGAGTCACAAATCAAGTTTAAGGGGGGATGTTGAAAGATTAAACTTGATTTGTGCCTAAACATATTATTTGGACTTTTGGACTTAGTTATTTTGGACTTAAATAATTTTAATTAATGTTTCTAGAAAACTTTTGTAATGTTTGGAGTGTCTAGATATTTCTTAGGGTTGTAATATTTTCTAGAATGCTCTTGGAATTTCTAGAGTTGAGAACTTTCTAGAATTAATGTGTCTAGAGTTTTCCTTAGAGTATTATAAATAGAGATACAATTCTACACTTTTGTATCAAGTAAAATACAAAATTCTTTCTTCCATAAATAATTCTTCTATTTATCAAGTTTCTATTCAAGTCTCTAATATTCCCACACACTTTCACTAAACACAAAAGGATTTATTTCCAATAGGGTAGCCGTGTGGCTCTGTTGACGGAGAGAATGGTGTGCAACAATTTTTTTCTGAGGTTTAAGGAGGTTCGAATTTGTGATAAGGGCAAATGAGGGAGAGGTGGTTGAAAAAGATGATTTCAGTTTGGTTGAAGGTGAGTTGGTGTTTGGTTTGTGTTTGAAAGTGGCATTTGGAGTTATGATGAGGGAAGAATTATGTAAGATGTGTGTGTGAGGGGAGGCGTTGCTTTTGTGTTATTGGTCAAAGTCCTTCTTGTAACAATGCAATGTTACTTAAATACTAGGGTTTCCTTTAAATGAATCAAATAAAAAAAGTACTTTTCAAAATTTAATAAGCAAGTTTATTAAAAAGAGATAAAAAAATAAATATTTTTTATACAAATAAAAAGAAATATAAATAGTAAAAATAAATTAAACTTAACTTAAATTAATTATCTAATTAACTAATAAATCATATGAATATTTAACTAAAAAATAAAAATAAAATGATAAAAAACGAATAAAAAGTCGAGTATTAAAGTGCTCGAAAGTTAAAAATGATTGCACCAAAATTATCAGCGCATAATAAATCACTCGAAAAAATACAGAGTTTTGTCAAATTTCGAAATAAATTTAGACCAGTAAAAATGCTTAGACTAATCAAAACGTGGTCAAAAAGTCATCAAAAATTAAAACGAACACGCTAGGTTAAACTACGCGAAACGTATATTAAAATAAACTACGTCTGCAAACTCAATTTTGAAATTTCTTGTCCACTAGTTTTACGCACAATTAACTTTCATTTTGACCGATTTAACTGTTAATTCGACATGTTTATTCTAACTGATAATTTAGATATTATGCACAATGAAAAACAAGTTATATTATAAAGATGATACAAAATAAAAATTAAATCAGGTAAATACAAATTTTAAAATACCTTGTCGAAATTTGGGAGTATGACACCACTATTATAAGAATCCCCAACTTAAATTTGTAGTTTATCATTAACCAGATCTAATATTATAACAAGAACCAGTACATATTTGAATTTTATTTTTTTAGGAATGACAGAAACACATGTTTGTGATGATTTTGTGGATTATTTAAAATCTCTAAATATTTGATCTAAATATAACTTTTTCAGTCCATGAGTTTACATCTGATTATGGAAAAAATTTCCACCGTATTTAACTATCATGACCATGAGGTTACAGTCAAATTATCATCAATCGAAACGTCTTTTTGCACATCATTGTTGCTTTCATGATTAATAAAATTCACGAGAGCCTAGAATAAGAAAAGTAAACAAAGGTTGTCAAACATGTGAACGTGTGTTCTCCATAACCTTAAGACACATATCAGAGAGCATTTGAATTCATAATAGATACAAGATACATATAGTTTTAAAAATGTCTACAAAGCCATTCAATAGTACAAAGGGATACTTACAAACCCTTCTCAATTTTTCTTATATATATTACCCTTAGCCTTCATCACTATCATCATCATCGTCACATTCTACGAACCAAACTACAACGATCTTACATACTTCTCGACCGCAAACATGTCAACTGCATCACAAGAAGGGGAAAACACTGGTTAACGGTCTAAAACTATGACCAGATAACATAACAGGTGACCTAACCGATCTTTAGTATCTTAGAATTCGAGCTATGTGAGATTCGTCGATGTTGAAAGGGAAAGATTCTTACACTAATTGAAGGGACATTTGGTCTTGTCGTCCGTACTGACTACTACTGGATTGTAATCCGGAAACTTGAAAGTATCCGCGAGAATCATATTGCTGCTGAGTCTGAGATTGCAAGGATTCATAGTTTGTGCCTCCAGGTAACACACTCATGTTAATATTATGGTGATGGTTCCTCTCACTTTCAGCTATCTAGGTAAACCATAACAAAAAAATTTTAGTGTCTTAATACTATCTAGATCAACAGCATTGTATTTTAAATAATCACTTTTGAAAAAAGTATACCTTTGCTCTCAGAAGTTGGTTGTTATTGTGCAAATCTATCTCCTGCAGTGTACATATTTTGGAATTTAGGGCAATGCACATTATGATATAGGGTTTGTTTGCTACATTTTTATTTTTTTTTTATAAAAAAGTACTTTTTTAAATAATCACTTATTAAATGCAAGGAAAAATACTAACCCTCTTCTGCATGTATTCAATTTCCGCAAATAACAGCTCATTCTGATTTGATTTTTTGATGCAGTAAAGGAAAAATAGAAAAGGAAGAGTTAGAAGAATACAAGATTCATGAATCTTTAAAAAATAGTTGTTGATAATTACCTTTTTGGAACGAATTCTACTTATTCCTTTTTCTAATTTGGACTCGAGATTCTTGAGTTCCTTTGCATTCATAGATCCCAAAGATTCACCCATCATTTGTCTGCAATTTAAACTTTCTTCAGCATGCAATCTCAAATAGTACACGTTACAAATTAACACGAGCTGTGTTGCTAACCGAAACTGACTTTCTGGTAACAACACAACTCGTGTTAAAGTTTGACATTGTAATATCAAAAGACGGAGCTCGAATCAACTTGCCTGTTGTTATTCTGCAGGTTACTAATTTGGACGCGCAATTTATCTGCTTCTTGTTGGTAAAACTGGAAAATATATATATGAAATCATGGATGAAAATGTTAGGTTATAGAGTAAAATAAATATGAAGTAATTTGAGATTAATGAACAATACCTGAGCATTAGCCTCAGAAGCAGATCCAGTGCCAGATGAATCTGAACATGCTTTTTTGTACCTTTCAATTGTTGCTTTCACACTACAATCATTAATAGTGTAAAATAATTATTAGTATAAAGTTAATTTAAGATAATTTTCATTTTTAAAAAATTTTTTTTTTAATATTGTTAGAATACTAATCATGTAAAATGTAATCAAACAATATTAAAATATCTACTCAAGATTACTCAAAAGAGATTGTAAAAATATCTTCTAATTTTATCAGAGTTTCTGCGTTCGAAGCTAAACATAAAGTTTAAAACTTTATTATTTATTGTAACTCCTCTCTCATTTTACAAAACAATTTCCACAAATTCTCCATATGAAGTCAGCATGTCTGCTCTGAGATCATTGTAATGTTTCATACGCAACAAATATACTGCTCAGGAATAAACAAAAATAGAAAAAAAAATCAACAAAATTTTTCCATTTTTAAAAAATTAACCTAAAATATAATATTTAAAATTTGTAATCATAATGATTTTGTGAATAACTTGTCACTGGTCAATGGTCAAATCATCCACATTTCTTGGTAATTTTCTGAACCTTAAAAACAACAGCTTAAAAGCAACATAGAATGACCTAATTACTCAGTCATCATGTCAAAATCTGATTGGATGTGAAACAAAATAAAATATTAAAATAACATCCAATTTTAGAAAATCAACAAAATTATAAAACATTAAAAAAACCCTTTTATGTTGTTTTTCTGATACCTTAATATCCTCGAGCAAGTCATTGGTTACCTCTGCCACGCTGGCACAAGATCCCACTATATGATTGGCTCAACTATTTCTAGCACAAAAACCCATTTCTCAATGGTTAATACCCTAAACCACATTGAAAAAACCACTTTGATGTGCCAACATAAGACTCAAATATTTAATGTTACACAAACTTTTTAAAAAAATTGAAACAGTAAAAAATAAAATACTATTATATTTTTTAGGTCTTTTCATTCTGATAAAAAATGTGGCAACATCATAACCGTCCATTTCATCTTCTCTGCTATGACAGCAGTAACAGCAATATTATTAGAACACTCTCATTGGCTATTCTCAATTGTGGTACGTTTGTCTTGTTACTAACCTTTATCTCACTCACTCACCTCACTCTTTACTATTTTGATTTAAATTGAATGTTCTTCTCTGCAACTGCATAGACTAAATTTTAGAATTGAAAAAATCACAATAGGGAACAAACCTCTTTCTGAACAGATTCAACATTCATACATGTCTAAAGCTGAGTTCAAACACAATTTTTGGTTATAGTTTTATTCACGTACTCTTCGAAAGGGGCGTTCGCGATGTGGTTTAGATGAATTTTGAAGAAAATATGATTCAATTCAAAGATAAATGTACTCGCGATTCGGTTCGATGTTGAATAATTGGTTAAAAAAATCCAACCTAATCAAATTAATTTCTTTTTGATCCAATTTTTTAATATGTAAATTATAAATTATAGGTTTTATTAATATTATAAAAGTACTAATAAATAATAAGCTTGATATAATATATAACCTATACTAGATTAAAAATTAATATTACAAAATAAAGATAATGATTTATTGTTAAAAGCAAATAAAATAAGAGATTAATTGTTATACACTGTCGGTGTAAAATTTTTATCAAGTGGTTAAAATTGAAGTCAAATTTTTAAACCCAATTAATGGTTGTGATTAACGGACCGTGTAAAAAATATTTACACTATCGGTGTATATCAATTTAATTCATAAAATAATAAAAATAAATAGAATAAATCAAACTAATAAATAATATTTAAAATAATAATTATCATCTAATAAATTAAAACAACGTATTATACTAATAAAAAAATAAATAAGTATAAAAATATATAAAGGGTGTTCGATTCAGTTTGGATCGATTTTGAGAAATCAAATCCAAATCGAGCCGTTTTTAAAAAAAAATAACATCCAAACACATTTAATAGTTATCGATATTTAGCGATTTTCAATTTATTTTTAATTAATTTGCAATTTTTGTTTGAATCGATTTGATTTTCGACACCTACTTCAATCTATATTTTTTTAATTTAAAAAGAAAAAACTAAAATATATATTTTTCCTTCTCCTTGCAATATTTTGAGGGAAAAAATTCTCAGTTACCGAGGTAAAATATAAATATGATACATTCTTATTGGTTGATCACTTATTTCACTGACATTTGTTGTTAAAGAATTTCTACTAGTTAACTATGAATAAATAGGGGAGAAAAAAAATTTCCTATTGAAGAGTGTTTTGAATTATAGATGATAAATTTTAGGGTTCAAATGAAAGAGGGAAAAGAGAAGCAAGAAGTGGAAATCATGACATAAATTACTCTTTTGTCAGAAGTCAAGAACTGAAAAATCATGTGTATGACGTGACCAAAGATTCTTTTCAACCAAGACAAATCCTAGTCCTTAAAAACCCTAACCAGATGCACCAAACCTCATTTCCTAAAAGAGATTCAAAATCAACCAAAATTATTTCATCTTTAACTCACATCATTTTTTACCATTTTCATCTTTTATTATTTACTGTCATAGAAATTATAAAGTTTTGATTTTTATTAATCTATTTACCACCAAGTTAAAAAAAATTATTTGCTAATGAAACCCTAGTTTTTAGGGTTATTTATATATTTGACCTAAGGTTAGATCTTGCATGTGGGTTGAAGTGAAATTTGGGGAAAACTCAATTTATGTTATTTAAATGGAAAATCCTTATCTGGGTCTGGATTTTTCTGTGGTGAAAATGAATTATGAGTGAAAAAATCACTTTTTTTAATCATAATCTGATATAAAACAGTGTATGTTTAACTGTCAAACCCTAATTAAAGATCCATTTTTTATTGAAAATTTGAATTTTCAATAAAGAATCCTTATCTGGGTCTTGATTTTTGTGGGGTGAAAATGAATTATGAGAGAAAAAATCACTTTTTTAATCATAATCTGATATAAAACAGTGTAAGTAACTGTCAAACCCTAATAAAGATAAATTTTTTATAGAAAATTTGAATTTGACAATTTGAGAAATGGATTGAAACTGTACTGTGGTTTCTTGTGACGTGTTATTAAGGAAGTGTCAAGGAGATGGATGGGTTGGGCTTATTGTAGCACACATGACAGCTTTTGCTTTTAGGGTCTTTGTTTAGCATAGCCACACACAAACACATAGATGTGTAAGAGATAGAGAGAGAGAATTGAAAGAAGAAAAAGGAAACAGAAAAAATTAACAAGAATGGTGTGTATGTTGAAGGAAGTGGCTGATCTCACACCACTGTGTAACTTCCCAAATCCTTACCTATATTTCTATCTTTTGCACCAGATCTATGTATACAATAAACAAGAGCTAGAAAAAATAATCATAAGCAGAAAAGAAAAAAAAAGTTCCTAGACTCAAAGAAGGAAAAATCCAAAATATGCTTCAGAAAACAAAGATAGAAAGAGCAAAAAATTTATTATGTTCTTGTGTTTTAAGTGCTTCACAAAAAGATCTATTTTGCAGAAGGGAAAAATCTATAACACCAAGAATCATTTTTAATACTTGTGAAGGAAAATCTATGATAAAATCTCAAAAGGGCTTATGAGAGAAGTGAAATTGTTTTTATATACCTGTTATTGGCGTATTCGTAGAGGCGGCCGCGACTAGAGAAAACTATAAGAGCAACTTCTGCATCACAGAGAACAGATAGTTCATAAGCTTTTTTGAGTAAGCCGTTTCGGCGTTTGCAGAAAGTTACTTGGCGATTTGTTGTGTTTTCAATCCTCTTGATCTCAATCTTTCCCCTTCCCATCTTTCTCTGTGGAGAATCTGACATGGATGGATTTGGAAAAGCCATGGATTCCAAGCTGAAAATCAAACATATTTCAATTAAACCAACAAAAAACATAGTATTTGAATATGTATCTAAATGTTTTCATAACAAAAATTCTTGTCTTTTTAAGGTTGTTTTGTCCGATTATGAAAAAACATAATGGATTAGAGACAGTTTAAGTTCCCAACATTTACTTGATTAGTTCAAAGTTTAGATTTTTGAGATGAAATCTAGTGATGTTTATGTTACCAAATCTGGATTTGGAGTGAAAAAGTATGATTCATCCCAAAAGAGTTGAAGCAGTGAGAATGGATTTCAAAAGATGTGTTTCAATATTTTGTTCACTAACCTTTGGAGAGGAAACAAAAGGAGAATATAATTAAGGATACAGCAGAAGATAGATGTTTCAGCAATAGCTCTTGATGTTTTTATTACTTTTTTTTTTCTTTCCCTTTCTCTCTTCTTTTCCACTTATATAAACAGGAAGAAGATATCAGAAACTAATAACGAAGTGGCCAAAGAATTTGGTATTTATAAAGTTAAAAGAAATGACCTTACACCCATCATGATTTATTTATGAATTAGAAAGAAGCTACTACATTTGTACCACACAAAAATTGAAACTACCACACACTCACTTTTATTTTTAATCCAATAGTTTAGAGAAAGGTGATTTTTAATTCAATAATCTAGGGAAAATCTACTTTTAAGAGATGGGTTACTTTTTATTCCGTTGGCCTTTTTTAGTTGTATGTTGTATCCATTGCATTTATTTCTCATTTGTTTTGTCAGTTGTAATGTGACTATAATCCTGTCATATACGATCTTTTAGTAGTTACGGAGAAGAGTGATTTTATCGAAAAATATTATTTCATTGTTTAAGGCATTTTCGTTTTTGAAATGTCTTGTTACGATTAGACGTGGATTTGGTGTTCTTTTGATGGATTATGATCGGTTGATAATGGATTTGGTAGTTTGAGATTTAACTTGTTGTCTGCGAGATGGTTCCTTAGTATCTTAGATCTTTTGAAATCAGTTGAACTATTTGTTTATTGGTTTGATTCTTCGGTTTGTTGTTGTCATTCTTCTTTTATTGTTTTTGCGATTTGTTGTAGTCTTTATACTCTTTATGCTTTGAGACAATCTTAGTTGTACTTTGATATTTTCACTTTATTAATATATTCTTATTTTTCATTTAAAAAATTAAAGGTGGACTTATTGAATGGTATGTATTATGAAAAAAAAAATCTCTGAATGACTTCATATTTCAGATTTGTTGATTAATGAAGAGAACGTGGAAGATAGAAGTATCTCTTTTGCTTGGAAATCGTATATTTGTAGGTAGTCGACTTATTCTTGTTTCTTTTTTAACTGACTGTTGATCTTTATTTATTTATTTTTTAGCCAATAATAGTTTGAGAGTGTCATTTGGTTTCTTGGAGGCGTCACCATGAACTACACTTGGAGAATGGTGTTCAATTGATAATGGCTTTGGTTCCTATGCTTTAGCCGGGGTCTTGTGGTGGTTCCTGGGTCTTGTGGTGGTTCCATGGTACCTAGAGCTTGTAATAGTATAGGGCAGGGTACTACCAATCCTCATACGTGCAATTTGAAAAAAATACTCGTAACTCAAAGGCATACCCGCGTGGGCAACAATATTTTACTCGTACATGTATCATGTGCGTAGGTAAGTATTCATACTCATACTCATAATCGTTACCTACATTTCTAATAAAATATTATCTATCAATTATAATTTATCATGTCATTTAAAATTTTTAATAACATTATAAAAATTTCAAGAATGTTATTATTGAATTAAGATATAAACAAACACTTATATTCATATATATATATATATATATATATATATATATATATATATATATATATATATATATATATATATATTAATATATATATATATATATATATATATATATATATATATATTAATATATATATATATATATATATATATATATACATATATATATATATATATATATATATATATATATATATATATATATATATATATATATATATATATATATATATATATAGAGTATGTATTCACACTTATACCCGTTTATTTTATTAGATATTACTCGTCCTCAGGTCCATACTAATTTTGCGAATTTTTATCGTATTTGGTGTGGATAAGTTTTATAGATACTCATTGAAGATTGGTCAAATTGCCATCAATATATATTTGGAGTCTTTGTTTTTGTCCTTTGTATTTTTCGAATGTTTAGTAATTATTTTTAGAGATTATTATGCACTTCTTGTATTATTAATGAGATCATAACTCCATTTGACGTTGTAGATCTTTTATATATATATATATATATATATATATATATATATATATATATATATATATATATATATATATATATATATATATATATATATATATATATATATATATATATATATATATATATATATATATTAGTTTTAAAAAACTCGGTTTGATAATAATATAAATGAAGTTTAATCAATGAGTATTTTAATAAAAATTACAATTCCAATTTTATCGAAACATTTTCTTGAAATGCAATTTATCACTACTTAAAGCACAATTTATTTGATTTTGTAAAATTGTTTTTTTTTTTAATTTGAAAATTGTAAACTATTTTTGAAAACTATTCTTTATTTTAGAATTTTAAAAACTAAAAAATTAAAATAGATTTAGAAGGTTTTTGACTTTTTGGTTTTGGTTTTTTAGTTTTAAAAATTTGAAGAAAAATAACAACAAAAAATGGGATAAAATAACTCAAATAGCCCACTTTTAAAATAATTACTCAAAGAAATCCATTTTCTTACATATTTTTCAAACTAATCCATTTTTAAATAAAACAAAATTTCAATACAAATGAGTCTTTAATTCAATTGGCGACAACGTACAATATACAAGAGGAGATGTCAATTCAATTAGCGACCATGTATAAATATAAACGAGAGAGTACACTCGTTCTTATTTTACATGATTAAACTTAAGTGCTGAATTTTCATAAAAATCAATACATTTGTGTTGATATGATCACACTTTCAAAAAAAAATTTGTTGATTTTAATTTTATTATCTTTTATGGACCAATAAAATTATGTTATAGGTCCGATACCTTGACGTCATTGACAATAAATAATATTTTTTAAATTTGCATGAATTGAATCAAAATAAAAAATTTAAAAAGATTAAAACCAAAAGATTAAAATTCAATTATTGACGATCATATTTATGTATTAATATAACAAATTTTTTTATATTTATAAATAACGATTTTGAGAAAAAGTTATAACTGCATTATATTTGTAAGAATCATAATTGGTTTGTTCATATTTTAAATGATCAAAATAGAAGGGTAAAATTATATATATATATATATATATATATATATATATATATATATATATATATATATATATATATATATATATATATATATATATATATATATATATATATATATATATATATAATATTTTGGTTTTACTTCTATAAAAAAATAGTTTTAGTTCTTGTGATATGTGTTATTAAATTGGAATTTGTCTATCCGATATAAATTGAAAGAATTGAAATGAAAATATATAGTACAAATAGGGATGACATTAGGGTGAGTTTGGGCAGGACTATAGTACATACTTTCATATTTGGGATTTAAAATAATCTCCATATCTGAGACCATACCCATGTATCCAACAAAATTTATATTCGTACTCATACCCTATAAATACCTAAGTATCCATTCTCATATCTATTTACTCACATATCTAATAAAAAACTATCGACCAATTATATTTTATCATTTTTTTTTTGTAAGCAAGGATTAAAACTAAGAGTTCTAGGGGTACTTTAACCCTCGATACAAAGAAACAACCCCGAAAAAAACTCGAGAAAGAAATAAACCAAACCAATTAAAACTATGACAAACTAAACAAAGGTTCGTGATAAAAATCATAAAAGTTACAGTTGTAATATGAATTATTGCCTACTACAGACCACTTCCACACCAACAACTTAATGTCCCATGGCAAATCCGATATAACACAATAAGCGCCTTTGAATAAAATAGCGTTTCTTGCAATCCAAATGTTCCAAATTACCGTCATCCACACTAAACCTTCATTGCCTTTCTTCGACCTGTTGAAGTTATCAAACTCCAAGCAAAACAGAAAATTCTTCCACACTTACTCCTCAAAAGACCAATCAATACCAATTCGTTGTCCCACAAGATCCAAAATCGTCCTCGCCATTCTACACCTGAAATACAAATGACTCAAATCTTCGACTTCATTAAAACGAAAAACACAAGGGAGGTCGTGGAGAGAAGAGACTGATCGGAAGAACTGATCGTTAGTAGGAATTCTGTTAACAAAATATTGATCTCTAAAATCATGGAGTCGCGTTTGGGCAAGGTTATTGGCAAACTGATATCTCCCGCCCAAACTACTTTTACTCCAGGCTGTCAGTTGTTAGATGGTGTTTTGTTGGTAAACGAAGTTTTAGATTTGGCAAAGAGAGAGAATATGAGCTGCCTTCTTTTCAAAGTCGATTTTGTGCAAGCTTACGACTCGATAAATTAGAAGTTTCTCGAAGATATTTTGGTGCAGATGAACTTCAGTACAAAATGGAGAAGCTGGATAAGTAGGGAGTGTTCAAAAGTTATATGACAGTTTTGGTAAATGGAGGAACTACACAAGATTTTGAGGTTAGAAGGGGTCTTAGATAAGGGGACCCCTTATCTCCCTTCCTGTATGCTATTGTGGCTGAAACTTTGGCTTTGTTGGTTAGAAATGCAAACCAAAAGGCATTATTCAATGGTTTTAGTTTTAGCAATGCATATGTTATCTCTTTGGTTCAATATGCAGACGAAACGTTTCTTATATGCAAGGGAGGATGGACAGATCTTTGGGGAATCAAAAGTATTCTTCGTGGTTTCAAGTAGTGGTGGCAATTGAATCCATTAAGACAAAATCCATCCAATCCATCCATCAAAAAATTCATCTAACTCATCC